CTCCAAAGAAGGAGCCTCCACCACAGTCTGGGGCAGAGAGTTCCACTGCTGAACGGCTCTCACAGTCAGGAAGTGTTCTGCATACAAGTTGAAATAGGTTATGTAAGAGTATGCAACCCTGTTGTATGCCTTTTCCAATCTTGAACCAGTCTGTTGTTCCATGGTCTGTTCTTGCTGTCACTACTTGATCATAAAAGGAAATAAAAAGCTGTTCAAATAGTACGATAAAAATAGAGTAGGATCTTTTTCAGGAGTTAAACATGGCTCTTCTGTGCCCTTCTCTCAGCCTTGTCTTCTCAAAGCTAAATGGGCCTAGCTCCTTAAGCTGCTCCTCCAAGGGACTCATGGCTTCCAAACTTTTGAACAAATTCTATTGCAGTGGTTCTCAACCTGTTTTGGATTATAACTCCCAGAAATCCCAACCAGTTTACCAGCTGTTAGGATTTCTGGAAGTTGAAGTCCAAAAGGTTGAGAACCATTGTTCTATTGAGAAAAGCAAAACATATGAGAGGGGTGCAAAACTTCTCATTCTTTGCTATCTTAATTTTCAGCTTTACCAGTCCAGTAACAATGTAGGTTTAAGTTTCTGTGTCATAGTACTTTATTTCCTGAATTCTAATGTGCCATCGAATCTAATGTGCACCTCAATTTTCAAATTCCCCCTCCAAACAAAACAAAACAAAACAAATCCAAAACATTTGCTGCTGAATGTAATGCACAAAAAGTGACCAGAAGAGCTCTCTGTACTTTGGCCATTAGAGTTGCTGCTGCCTGCTTAGAATTCCTTCCTTCTTTAAGAAACAAGTGTTAGAACACCAATAATAATAATAATCATCATCATCATCATCATCTTTATTTATACCCCGCCAATATCTTCCCAGCAGAGACTCGGAGTGACTTACATGGGGCCAAGCCCGAACAACAAATCTATATATATATAAATGCTCTGTGCATAATGAGTTCCTTAAAAACAAAAGAACCTATGAACGAAATCGCACCAAATTTGGCAACAAAATGTCTCACACCACAAGTAGTGACCATCACTCAAAACATTATGATTTTGTCACTTGGGAGTTGTAGATGCTGGGATTTATAGTTCACCTACAATCAAAGAGCATTCTGAACTCCATCAACGATGGAATTGAACCAAACATAGTACACAGGACTTCCATGACCAACAGAAAATATTGGAAGGGTTTGGTGGGGGTTGACCTTGAGTTTGGGAGTTGTAGTTCACCTACATCCAGAGAGCACTGTGGACTCAAACAATGATGGATCTGGACCAAACGTGGCACAAGCACTCAATACGCCCAAATATGAACACAGATGTAGTTTGGGGGAAATAGACCTTGACATTTGGGAGTTGTAGTCACTGGGATTCACAGTTCACCTACAATCAAAGGGCATTTTGAACCGCACGAACGACAGAATTGGGGCAAACTTCCCACACAGAACCCCCATGACCATCAGAAAATACTTAAGGCCATCCAATCCAACTCCCTTCATCAGGGCAAGAAAACGTAAACAAAGTCCTCCTGACAAAGAGCCATCCAGCCATAGAGATAGATAGATGGATGGATAGATAGATAGATAGATAGATAGTAGGGCTGGGCGGTTTCGTTTCGTTAATTCGTAATTCGTTAATAATTCGTTAATTTTTTCAATTACAAAACGATAACGAACCATTCTGGAGCAATTATTAAAAAAAAACGAATTTTCAAATTTTTGTAAATGCTTCGTATTTCGATATTGTATTCGTTTCGTTATTGTTTTGAGGTCGTTTCGTTATTATTTCCGCATGTCTGGGCCAGTTTTATGGTTTAATTAGTGAAAAATTATAATATCACACCAACAGTCAACAACAGAGGGAGAGGGAAGCTTCAGAAGGTTTTGGAGGTTTTTTAGCGTATTTCGCGGTCGCGTCCGCCATTAATGAATCGATTCGTTATTGTTTCGGAAATCGATTCGTTAATTTTTTACCATTTACGAAATTTCGTAAATATCGAACTTTTTAAAAGGAAAATTTTGTAATTATTTTAAATATCGAAACAAAAAAAAAACCCAAATACAAATCGATTTTAGAAACAAATTTTTCCGTTGTTACCCAGGCCTAATAGATAGATATGATTCACACAGATATAGTATCATAGATTTGAAAGGGACTCTTAAAGAAGGACAGTGATATATTGCATGTTTCAGGGTGGGCAAACCACAACACTGACAAAGAAACAGCAAGAAATACTCTTTACCCACAAGCATAAAGAAATTACATGTATTAGAAACCAACACTTTCTCATTCCCTTTATTTTCCAGATCAACAGACTGGGCCACAGCAACGCGTGGCAGGGGACAGCTAGTTACAATATAAAAATACAAATTTCAGTGAAATAAACAACATAACATTAAAGTATAAAACATCAAAACATATAAAATAATATGCAGAGAACATAGAAACCAAACATAATGACAGAGAGCATGCTGCATGTACATAAAATGATTTAAAAACACCGGGTGAGATAAGGGGGCAGAACTAATTGTAAGGGAGAACTCGGAGAGAGACAGGAAAATAGACAAACCTTCGTACCAAAGCCTTTAGCAACGGAAAAGGAAACTTTGGGGTGTGTCTATGCTGCAGAATGAATCCACTTGAATTGCCCCAGCTCAATGGTATGAAGTCATGGGAGCTGTAGTTTTGCAAAGCCCCAAGCCTTTTATGCTGAAGAATGTTGATACCTCACCAAACTACAAATCCCAGGATCGCATAGCATTGAGCCATGGCCATTAATTTATTTTTTTTAATAATCTTTATTAGCATTTTTATATACACTGTTAAAAATACTTTTAAAAATTTCAAAAATAGGATAGCAAGAAAAAAGAAAAGAAAAGGAAAGAAAGCCATGGCCATTAATTTAGACATGATGTCCCTCAGATAGAAGTTCCAGGTGCTCCTTTTGCTTGGTTGGGCTCAGCACTAAGATAACTGTATGACGCAGATCTCATGTGCACCCTAATTTTGGTAAGGTAATTTAGCTTTTAAAAGGGGTGAGCATTATATTGGAGTAAATAAGGGAGACTCCGGGGTTCAAATTCGTATGTTGAATTTTCCAGTGCTTGGTTGAAGGGATATATTTGTCTATCTGGCTTTGGATCCATGCACAATAGTCATGTAATATTTACATATGTTGTTTAAATTGTTGTTTAATTGCTTTTAATTATTATTGTTTAATAATTGTCTCTGACCAAATTCTGCATAAAATGCCCTCAGAAACACTTTATTTTCTTGTTGTGCAATTAAATCCTACCTCATCCCCCAGAGCTCCTCCCTGATGTTTTACATTGCCCTATCTCCCAGTGTTTTTAACTTTTAATCCTTAAATTTGGCCCTGCCCATGATGATAATTTTTAATGTCGTAATGTTTTGATTTTATATTGTTGTGTCGCTTATATACATTAGTTTTGTATTTTAGGTTATATATATATATATTATTTTCTGTTGTGTTTTTTTGTTTATTTATTTATCGTGTCAGGAGCAACCAGACAGTTGTATTACATGTTTAACAAAACAAACAAACAAAACACAAAGTTTGCAAGCTGGGTAGTGTCCTTTGACCAGTAGCTGGGCACTTGGAGTGCCTCTGGTGTTGCCGCAAGGAGGTCCTCCCTGGTGCATGTGGCAGGGCTCTGGTTGCATTGCAGCAGGTGGTCTGTGGTTTGCTCTTCTCCACACTCGCATGTCGTGGATTCCACTTTGTAGCTCCATTTCTCAAGGTTGGCTCTGCATCTCGTGGTGCCAGATCACAGTCTGTTCAGAGCCTTCCAAGTCACCCAGTTTTCCGTGTGCCCAGGGGGGAGTCTCTCATTTGGTATCAGCCATTGATTGAAGTTCTGGGTTTGAGCCTGCCACTTTTGGACTCTCGCTTGCTGGGGTGTTCCAGCGAGTGTCTCTGTAGATCTTAGAAAACTATTTCTTGATTTAAGTCATTGACGTGCTGGCTGATACTCAAACAAGGGATGAGCTGGAGATGTCTCTGCCTTGGTCCTTTCACTATTGGCTGCTACTTCCCGGCGGATGTCAGGTGGTGCAATACCGGCTAAGCAGTGTAATTTCTCCAGTGGTGTAGGGCGCAGACACCCTGATAATGCGGCATGTCTCATTAAGAGCCACATCCACTGTTTTAGTATGGTGAGATGTGTTCCACGCTGGGCATGCATACTCAGCAGCAGAGTAGCATAGCGCAAGGGCAGATGTCTTCACTGTGTCTGGTTGTGATCCCCAGGTTGTGCCAGTCAGCTTTCGTATGATATTGTTTCTAGCACCCACTTTTTGCTTGATGTTCAGGCAGTGCTTCTTGTAGGTAAGAGCACGGTCCAGAGTGACTCCCAGGTATTTGGGTGCGCTGCAATGCTCCAGTGGGATTCCTTCCCAGGTATCCTCAGAGCTCGGGATGCTTGTCTGTTCTTGAGATGAAAGGCACATGTCTGTGTTTTAGATGGATTAGGGATCAGCTGGATTTCCCTGTAATAGGCAGTAAGAGCACCTAGAGCTTCGGAGAGCTTCTGTTCAACCATCTCAAAGCTCCCTGCTTGAGCGGTGATGGCACGATCATCAGCATAGATGAAGCTCTCTGTCCCTTCTGGCAGTGGCTGGTCATTTGTGTAAATGATTTTGTGTTATATTGTGTATATTGTATTGATGGGTGTGGCCTCATGTAAGCTGCTCCGAGTCCCCTTGGGGAGTTGGTGGCGGGGTATAAATAAAGTTTTATTCTTATATTATTGTTGTTTGGGCATGGAATAATGCCAATTATGTAAGCCGCCCTGAGTCCCCTTCGAGGTGAGAAGGGCAGGAAATAAATGCCGCAAATAAATAAATAAATATTTGGCTGTCCCCATTGCTGTGGATCCGGATGACACCGATATCTTATTATTTATAGTATTTCTGTTGTGTATAACATATAATGTCCTTTCCTCTGATTCTTCCCCTCTCCCCTTTCCTGCAGCAGGAGCGCTTCATGGAGGAGCACACGGTGACCCAGACGGAGCACATGGCCACCATCGAGGCCCACGCGGTGGCCCAGCAGGTCCAGCAGGTCCACGTGGCCACCTACACCGAGCACAGCATGCTCAGCGCTGATGAAGACTCCCCCTCTTCCCCCGAAGACACCTCTTACGATGACTCCGACATCCTCAACTCCACAGCCACCGATGAGGTGACTGCCCACCTGGCCGCCGCAGGTACGCTTGCTCCATAGCATCTCGGTCATTGCAAAACATGAGCTGAAGCAGGTGGGACACAACCTGGCTGTGGAATGATAGGCCTGAAAAGCAGATTATCTTTTGTCGAAGGCTTTCATAGCTGGAATCACTGGGTTGTTGTAGGATTTTCAGGCTGTATGGCCATGTTCTAGAAGCATTCTCTCCTGACGTTTCACCTGCATCTACGGCAGCCATCCTCAGAGGATGCTTGTCATAGATGCAGGCAAAATGTCAGGAGATAATGCTTCTAGAACATGACCATACAGCCTGAAAAGCCTACAACAACCCAGATTATCTTTTGAACCTCAGCCTTTCTCACCACTTCTTCAAACCAGAAATGTTTAGTGCAAAACAGTGGCCAGCAGAGGGCAGTATGGCAATAGGTTTCTTTCCCTGTCTTACCTACCTGATGTCTCTAAACCAGGTGTGGGCCAACTTGGGCCCTCCAGGTGTTTTGGACTTCAACTCCCACAATTGGACTTCGACTCCCACAATTCCTAACAGCCTGTTTTATATTGTTGATTTTGTTATTTCATATTTTGTTATGATGTATTTTGTTATAGTGTGTTTATTATGTTGTATTATTTTGGGCTTGGCCTCATGTTAGCCGCCCTGAGTCCCCTTTGGGGAGATGGTGGCGGGTTTTAAATAAAGTGTATTATTATTATTATTATTATTATTAGCATTCTTTCCTGACGTTTCACCTTCAACTATGGTAAGCATCCTCAGAGGTTTGTTCAGAGGTCTGTTGGAAATGAGACAAGTGGGGTATCTATCTATCTATCTATCTATCTATCTATCTATCTATCTATCTATCTATCTATCTATCTTTGCAATGTCCAGGGTGGGAGAAAGAACTCTTTGTCTGTTTGAAATTAGATTAATTTATCCCAATGTATGTCACTAACAGGATACCGGGCACAATTCAAGGTGCTGGCTTTAGCCTATAAAGCCCTAAACGGTTCTGGCCCTGCTTACCTCTCCGAACACATCTCCACCTATGAACCGACCAGAACATTAAGATCGTCTGGGGAGGCCCTGCTCTCGATCCCGCCTGCGTCACAGGCGCGCTTGGCGGGGACGAGAGACAGGGCCTTCTCAGTGGTGGCCCCTCGGCTATGGAATGCCCTACCGGCAGACATCAGACAGGCACCTTCGCTGCTGACGTTTCGGAGAATGGTTAAGACCTGGCTTTATGAACAAGCGTTTGGTTAAGCAGTGCAACCAATCATAGGAAGACGGTAAATGGAACATAGGAATGGCACAAGGATTATGAGAACGGATCTGATTTCAACTGAGGCGTTATGTTATGTCTGTTTTGTTGATCTGTCTTGTTGATTGTTAACTGTTGTGGATTGATGCTGTTGATCCTGTTTGTTGCATTGTTATGTTTTAATTGCACTGACACTGTTTGATAATTGTACCATGTAAACCGCTTTGAGTCGCCTGTTAAGGGCTGAAAAATGCGGTATAGAAATAAGGCAAATAAATAAATAATAATAATAAATAATGGGAGTTCTAGCACAGCTCAAGAACACCAGGTTGAAGGAAGTTGCCTTCATCTTTCCCTGATGATGTGAGAATATTCAACACCCCCTTTTGTCCTTAGGCCCAGTGGGGATGGCTGCAGCTGCAGCAGTGGCAACGGGTAAAAAAAGGAAACGTCCTCACGTCTTCGAGTCCAACCCTTCCATCCGCAAGAGGCAGCAGACCCGGTTGTTACGGTAAGAGCCTATGATGCAAAATGTTGCCTTAAACCAGGAGTCATCAAACTTTTTAAACAGAAGGCCAGGTCACAGTTCCTCAAACTGTTGGAGGGCCGGATTATAATTTGAAAAAACCATGAATGAATTCCTATGCACACTGAACATATTTGTAGTGCAAAAAACCACTTAAAAACAATACAGTGATTAAAATGAAGAACAGTTTTACCAAATATAAACTTATTAGTATTTAAATGGGAAGTGTGGGCCTGATTTTGGCTGATGAAATAAGATTGTTGTTGTTGTTGTTGTTGTCTGCTTTTAAGTAATTTCAGACTTAGGTTGACCCTGAGCAAGGGCCGGGTAAATGACCTTGGAGGGCTGTATCTGGCCCCCGGGCCTTAGTTTGAGGACCCCTGCCTTAAACTCTTGGATTTTTCCAAACCATCATTCTCTGCTGCTGTCTTTGTTTTCATGTATTACCAGAGATTTTCTTTGTTAATTACAAATGATAGGGTGTGTACTAGAGGTAGGCACAGTATTTGTTCCATTAGTTTCATTCGGGTATTTGTTTCATACAGTCCATTAACCTCATAGAATCATAGAATCAAAGAGTTGGAAGAGACCTCATGGGCCATCCAGTCCAACCCCATTCTGCCAAGAAGCAGGAATATTGCATTCAAATCACCCCTGACAGATGGCCATCCAGCCCCTGTTTAAAAGCTTCCAAAGAAGGAGCCTCCACCACACTCCGGGGCAGAGAGTTCCACTGCTGAATGGCTCTCACAGTCAGGAAGCTCTTCCTCATGTTCAGATGGAATCTCCTCTCTTGTAGTTTGAAGCCATTGTTCCGCGTCCTAGTCTCCAAGGAAGCAGGAAACAGGCTTGCTCCCTACTCCCTGTGGCTTCCTCTCACATATTTATACATGGCTATCATATCCCCTCTCAGCCTTCTCTTCTTCAGGCTAAACATGCCCAGCTCCTTAAGCTGCTCCTCATAGGGCTTGTTCTCCAGACCCTTGATCATTTGAGTCGCCCTCCTCTTGACACATTCCAGCTTGTCAATCTCAAGTCTCCTCTGCAGATTGAGTGGAAAGGAAATAGGGAACATTGTTAGAAAACTTGGTGGACTAAGAGTGATCGATGTGTCCTTGGTGAGTGGTGTTTTTAACCCCTCTAGTCCTAAAACCGAGGGGAAGGGGAGCCTGGGAAGGTCGCCCATGTTGGCCAATGGTTCAAAAATTGTATTCATTCGGACGAAACAACAAAACAGCTCATTCTGAAAGGCCCCCCATTTTCGGGAGCAGTGCTCAAAAACTGAAACAAAGCCATACAAATGAAACAAATGAAACAAACCGAAATGGATAGCAATTCTATACAAATGCACAAGACTAGTATGTACCAAGTGTAGGCCTAGAGCAGGCATGGGCAAACATTGGCCCTCCCCGAGGTGTTTAGGACTTCAACTCCCACAATTCCTAACAGTTGGAAGTCCAAAACACCTGTGGGGAGGGCCAACGTTTGCCCATGCCTGCTCTGTTGGCTTCTCCAGCTCAAGTGCTGGCAAAATCTTGCTCTCTCTGACTTGAGAATAATTGCCCTTGATGCTGCTCAAGGATTATGGCATCAGAGAGTGCTTTTCTTGCCCTCCCCAGAGATCCGTGGTATTGTTCTATCGCTAATGCCCAAGTATGTGACAGGCCAGGCCTTGCTTGGCTTGAGTAATCAACTGAGATGCAAAGATATAGACTGGGGGATGCCTGGCTTGGTCCTCGTGGACAACAAGTTAAACATGAGCCAACAATGTGAAATGGCGACAAAAAAAGCCAATGGGATTTTGGCCTGCATCAACATGGGTGACCTGTGGAACGCCCTTCCTACCAACATTAGACTGGCACCATCTCTAATAGTATTCCGCAAAAAAGTGAAGACCTGGCTATTTGAACAGGTGTTCGAACAATTAGTGCAATGATTGGTTAATGAACACTGGAATGGATCAACGGATGACGAATTTGGATCATGTTTTTGATGATGAGATGATAGTGATTGGCTACTGCAGTAATCGCTAATTGTTTATTGTTATTAATTGTGTAATGGATTAGACTGCTAACTGTTTTTATATTGTACATTGAATTTCTGCTGTCTCTTATTGTTGTGAACCGCTGTGAGTCGCCTTCGGGCTGAGAACAGCGGTATAGAAGCAAAGTAAATAAATAAAATAAATAAATTCAAGAGAGATATTGACAAGCTGGAATGTGTCCAGAGGAGGGCGACTAAAATGATCAAGGGTCTGGAGGACAAGCCCTATGAGGAGCGGCTTAAGGAGCTGGGGATGTTTAGCCTGAAGAAGAGAAGGCTGAGCGGAGATATGATAGCCATGTATAAATATGTGAGAGGAAGCCACAGGGAGGAGGAGGGAGCAAGCTTGTTTTCTGCTTCCTTGGAGACTAGGACGCGGAACAATGGCTTCAAACTACAAGAAGGAGATTCCATCTGAACATGAGGAAGAACTTCCTGACTGTGAGAGCTGTTCAGCAGTGGAACTCTCTGCCCCTGAGTGTGGTGGAGGCTCCTTCTTTGGAAGCTTTTAAACAGAGGCTGGATGGCCATCTGTCAGGGGTGATTTGAATGCAATATTCCTGCTTCTTGGCAGAATGGGGTTGGACTGGATGGCTCATGAGGTCTCTTCCAACTCTTTGATTCTATGATTCTTGAAGGTACCATAGTTTCTTGACTTGACCCTCAGAGTTTTTGCGATGATTGGTGCTCACAAATTGGTTGGAAATAAACAAGCTACCGCTGAGCTTAGAAGAGCAAAGTTAAGCAAAGAGCAAAGTTAAGCCGTTTCCGCCGAGGGATCCTCCCTCCAGGGAGACGCTGATGCAACCCTCAGCCAAACAGGCACATTCTCCTCCGTTGCTGTTGCAATGTCTTACTGAGTCTTGCTCAGCATCGGCAGAAGAATTCCAGCAGCGCCTTTACGCAGGTCTCCAGTCCCAGGGCTTTGTGCCACCGTCCTTTTGTTCATGCAGCATACATCCTCTTAATAGTCTAATTGCATGATTAAATGCGTTTTTTAAAAGTTCCCCTTGTTTTCGATTTCATCAGTCAGGAGATGACAAAAAATGTTCTCCTTGGAGAGAATGCATGTGAAACTCAAAATGAGCCTGAGAGTTATTTATAGGAAGTGTTGTTGTTGTTGTTGTTGATATTGTCCCACTTTTATCTGTTGATTGAGATGCAAAGGAATATGAATGAGTGATAGCAGGGTGTCAGGAATTGTTTGGAGGCCGTCATCAAGGGAGATATAAGGATGCTTTCTCAGGCTCAGTTGGGTTTATGTAGAAATAAGGAGAGTTACTGGAGTCACTTAGAATAAGAAAATGGTGTTGTATGCAGACTTTGGAAGAGCAGGGTTCGAATCTGTGCTCAGCTATGGAGAACCTCTGGATCACCTTAGAGATGTCCCACTCCCTCAGACTCAGAGGAAAGCAATAGCAAACCTTTTCTGAAGAAACTTAGGGAAAAGTGGTGGAAGCTCCTTCCTTGGAAGCTTTTTAAACAAAGGCTGGATGGCCATCTGTTGGCAGTGTTTTGATTGTGCTTTTCCTGCCTGGACTAGATGGCTTATGTGGTCTCTTCCAACTCTATTATTCTATCAGTTTACCATAATTCAGAGTTGCAGTAACAAAGTATAATTGGCCTCCCACATAATGCAGATTTAACTTTTACGGATTTGATCTAGGACAGTGGTTGTCTACCTTCCTAGTGCCACAACCCCTTAACTCAGTTCCTCATGTTGTGATGACCCCCAACCATAAAATTACGTGTGTTGCTACTACATAACTGTAATTTTGCTACTGTTATGAATTATAATGTAAGTATCTGATGTGTATTTTCATTCACTGGACCAAATTTGGCACAAATACCCAATATGCCCAAATTTGAATACTGGTGGGGTGTGGGAGTTGCTGAAAGAGCATTCTGAACTCCACCAATGATGGAATTGAGTCAAACTTGGCACATAGAACTCCCATGACCAGCAGAAAATATTGGGAGGGTTTGGTGGGCATTGACCTTGAGTTTGGGAGTTGTAGTTCAGCTACATCCAGAGAACACTGCGGACTCAAGCTTGTACTGTTGTTGTTTTGCTTCTATTGTTGTATTCGGCCTCGGCCTCATGTAAGCCGCACCGAGTCCCTTGGGGAGATGGTAGCGGGGTACAAATAAAGTGTTGTTGTTGTTGTTATTATTATTATTATTATTATTATTATGGATCTGGATCAAAGTTGGCACCAATAGTAGAATTGGGTCGAACTTCCCACACAGAACACACATTTCCAACAGAAAATACTGCGTTTTCGATGGTCTTTGGCGATCCCTCTCACACCCCCTCGCAACCCCCTCTGGGTTCTTGAGAAACACTAATCCAGGAATTTCTTTGTCTTCCATTAGAATCATGAAATCCTAGAGTTGGAAGAGACCTCATGGACCATCCAGTCCAACCCCCTGCCAAGAAGCAGGAAAATTACATTCAAAGCACCCCTGACAGATGGCCATCCAGCCTCTGTTTAAAAACCTTCAAAGAAGGAGCCTCTGCACACACATTGGTCAACATCCATCAGAAGTTGACTATAGAATCATGCCTGAAGACCTAGAGATTCCTAGAAAGGTGGTGATGGTGGTGTTAAATTTTTCTCTGTGTGTGCAGAGAGTCTTCTCTCCTAGTCCTTGTGAAAGTGGAGGGCCTACTACAATATTAATTGTATGTTGAACTTCTGCTTATTATAATTGTATATAACTGGGAAAGATACAAGAGGGCAGTGGGTAGAGTTCAGGTACATGGTGTCTGTGGTAGGAAGAGTGACTCAAGGGAACTGGGGATGTCTTTCTGGGGGTCTCCAGTCATGGCTAATGCACCCAGTCTGAGACCCTCCAGAATACAGCACCAGCACCTTGTCCAGCTTTTTAACATGTATAGCCTTGTGTGGCAGATGAAAGGCCTCTCCTGCAGGTGGTTTGTAAAATGAATGATGCTCTATATAAACAAACACCCCTCTACTGCTCCATGGTAGGCTTGGCTTAACCTCCCTGGCTAGGAATTCCTTTCCTATTGAAGGAAACAGGAGGGATGGGGTGGCGTAGCTCAGGCTCCCATCATTGGGAACACAGGGGGAAATTTGGGTACGCAAACCTCCCTACAAATTGCCGCTTTAATGATTTCCATGCCGTTTTGCATCTGCACAATATGAGATGGCTGTTTCCTGTGGATGCAAGTTGGCGTGCTTTGTTATCCTCTCTGCTATTGTGGGATAGCAGCAGCTAAACAAACAATTAACACATGAACTCCTTATTTCTACATAAACCCCTTTGGAAGAAGGCCGGCAGCAGCTTGCAAGCAGAGAGGCTTTTCAATCAATTCTTTTTTCCATTTCCATAACATGAACAAATCAAAGGGTGCATCTTCACTGTAGAATGAATGTTGGGTTTGACACCTGGCTCAATGCAATGGAATCATGATTCCCTCCCTGGCCAAATACTGTCCCAACTCCACTGATTCGATGACATGGAGCCTTGAGAGTTAAAGTGATGTCCAACTGTATTAATTCTGCAATGTAGATGCACCCTACGTTCTTCTCTCTTGTGTTTGTAAGGGTCACAGTTCCCTGTAAATTTATTTATTTTATATATTTATTTACCACATTTGTATACCACCTTTCTCAGCCCAGAGGCGACTCAAGGCAGTTCACAGTCGGCAACAATTCGATGCCTCAACAATGATAAAAAAACCAATTATAAAATATAATTAAAACATTTAGCATATAATATAAAAGTCGTACAAAGCCATAAAAACATTATCATGAGTGTCTCCTTACTAAAGTCATTATCCAATTGCAACATCAAGTCGTTCAGTGATTTCATATTTACCCGATTATGCTGCATTAGCGAAAGCTTACTCGAAGAGCCAGGTTTTAACCTTTTTTTGGATTGTCAGAAGGGAGGGGGCCGATCTTATACCCCTAGGAAGGGCGTTCCACAGTCGAGGGGCCATCACTGAGAAGGCCCTGCAGAGGTTATACAAAGAAGGCCCAGTCTCTTGTCCCCGCCAAACGTATGTGTGACGCAGGCGGGATTGAGAGCAGGGCCTCCCTGAACAATCTTAAAAGTCCTAGCAGGTTCATAAGGGGAGCTGATGTTGTCTCTCCAATGGAATTTTCTGAATCAGCACCCCAAATAACCAAACCGAACTGATTTGGTACTAATGTTGGAGAGTGGTCTTTGGTTAAAGTGATCCCTGGTCAAAAAGAGGTTGGGAACCACTTTCTTAAAGTGTCTGTACATCCTACAGCATTTATGGCCAGCATTTCTGGTGGAAGTTGACAATAGAGATATGCTAAAAGAACTGGACATACTTAGAGAAGACATATTAATCAATGCCATGCACAATAAAATCCATGAAAGTTATTCTCACAAAGATGGAGAGCTGATTGTATGTTCATAGTGCAATTAACACCTGAATACAGGTTGGAGGTCTGGGATGGTGGAGTCAAGTCTTTACTCTTAGAATACAATAATAATAAACTTTATTTATATCCTGCTCCTCTCTCCCCAAAGGGAGAATATTATAGAAGCAATCAGATGCTTGTGTTTGTTGAAAAAAGTATTGTGTTTGCAGCTGGGTTTAGATAATCCTGCAGAGGTTATACAAAATATTCTTTCTTCACATGAGGCAATCTGATTCTACTGCTAAGACCCAGTTGACATGAGGAAAGTTGTTGTATTTATTTATTTTATTATTTATTTATCAACAGTATTTATATTCCGCCCTTCTCACCCTGCAGGGGACTCAGGGCGGATTACAATGTACATGGCAAATATTCAATTCTATAGACACGCAACACATAAAGACAGACACAGAGGCAATTTAACATTCCAGCTTTTCTTCAGGGTATTTTGGCCACCAGGGGAGCTGTCACTTCACTGTCCATTTTGTGACACTGATGAAGTACTTCCTCATTCTTTGCATGCTTGCTGGAGTTTTTTATGGCCTCGCAAATAAGTTAAATTTGCCTCCCCGGATAAGCGGTACCTAAATTTCCTACTTGACAAATGCAACTGTCTTTCGGGCTGCAAAGGTCGACAGCAAGCTACACAAAATTGATCGGAAGCTCACCCTGACCTAGACTGGCTTCGAACTCATGACCTTTTGGTCTTTAGTGATCTTAATGCAGCTGACTCCCAGCCAGCTGCGCCCCAGTCCCGGTGCAATCACTTACCTGTATTTGACAGTTTAGTGATTGCTTCTCAAGTTGTGTGATGTGCCAGATCACCAACTGTGTGTCAGAGATTTCTACAGCATTAGTGTCATATTTTGTATCATATTCGCATACCATTTTGAGTAGCACTGGTATAAGAAACTGTGAGAAAAAGACAGGCACAAGGCCCCAATTTCCTAAAAAAAACCCTGTTATCACTAGTAGAGCATCTCTTACCCAGAAGAGATTCCCAAATTTGAGTGGTTGACCTAGTGATGCCTTTGCTTTCTGATGTTTAAGTGTACACAGACTTTGTACATTTTATGTACATGCAGTCCACCCTCTGTCATTTTGTTATTATGTTTAGTTCCTATGTTCTATGTATATTGTTTTATATGCTTTGATGTTTTATTTTAATGTTATGTTGTTAATTTTATTGCAATTTGTATTGTTATATTGTAATTCTTGTTTGGGCTTGGCCCCATGTAAGCCGCTCCGAGTCCCCATTGGCGAGATGGTGGCGGGGTACAAATAAAGTTTTTATTATTATTATTATTATTATTATTATTATTATTATTATTATTATCATCATCATCATCATCATCATCATCATTGTCTCGGGGATACTCAACCTGTCCTGCTTGTTTATTTTCCCCGCTTCTCGACACAGGAAGCTGCGTGCCACGCTGGACGAATACACCACTCGGGTCGGGCAGCAGGCCATCGTCCTGTGCATCTCGCCTTCCAAACCCAACCCTGTCTTTAAAGTCTTTGGGGCAGCACCTCTGGAGAATGTGGTAAGACCTCTGTGACCAGCTCACTGTATATATAACCTTATCCCTCCCTGGCCTGGACTTGGCATGGCTGTGCCTTAAGTGGCACAAGGGTCATGATAAGCTGTCGGAGAATGGCTGCAAAAAGGCATGGCAGAGAAGAGGTGGCCCCTCGACTCTGGAACCTGCTCTCCAAGGACATCAGACATGCCCCAACTCTGGTAGTCTTTAGGAGGAGCCTGAAAACATGGTTGTTCCAGTGTGCCTTCCCAGAGTAAGGAAATACCCTCAGCAATATGTCCCTAAATGCACTTTATCACTGATTTAGGATTGTCTACGTGCCCCATCTCTACCTGAAAACTCTATCCCAGTTATATCCTACCTTGTCCATGCCCAACATTATTATTATTATTATTAATTTTAAATTATTACATTTGGCCCAGCCATAGGTTTGAAATGCTTGTTGTTATTGTTACTGTTTATTGTTTACTTTTGTTTATGGGATTTACTTTAACTGTTGTATTGTTGGTTTTTCTATTGCTTTTACTGTTGATCTACTTTAAGCTCAGCCTCATGTAAGCCGCACCGAGTCCCTTGGGGAGGTGGTAGCGGGGTATAAATAAATTATTATTATTATTATTATTCAGAGACTGTTATCAGAACCACAGGGCTTTGCATCTTCTTCCCTATCTCCAGGGAGGATTGATGCATTCTTACCAGACAACTGCAACGTGCTGAACTGAAGAGTCACATTTTGTCATATGGAGACAAAGCTTGCACCTAACACAGACATGGGCAAACTTTGGCCCACTTTGGTGATTTGGACTTCAACTCTCACAATTCCCAGCAGCCTTAGGCCCCTTCCTTTTCCCCGTCAGTGGTATGCGGCAGGTACTAACTTGTTCAGTAGACTCTCCTCTACAGTTCCATTTTGGTGGGAAGCCTTAGCATTAAACAGCTGTGTTGTTAAAGTTTGAAGGATGGAACCCTGTGCCGACAGTCGGTCAATGCATCTTAAGCAACGTGCAGTCATTGAATTCTTGACAACAGAAGGTGTCACCTCAACATTTTTAAACTTACTCACCAAATGATGTACAGTACTCACATCAACACAATCACCATAAACAGCTTGCGTTCTCTGATGAATCTCCTTTGGGGTGGCACCTCCTGCTGTCAAGAATTCAATGACTGCACATTGCTTAAGTCACATTGACTGACCATCTGCACAAAGTTCCATACTTTGCACTTTAACAACACAACCGTTCAATGCTAAGGCTTCCCGCCAAAATGGAACTGTAGAGCAGAGTCTACTGAACAAGCCAGTACCTGCTGCATACCAGTACTGCCATCTGTTGAGGAATTACGAAGGTGGAGGCATTACTTTTCACTCAACCCTCGTGTCAGTGAATGGATGCAGAAGATGGAGGCAGACCGATGATGATGATGATGATGATGATGATGATGATGATTATTATTATTATTATTTCCTTATCTGCCTCTCCTCAAGGTGGGTTGCAGCATAATTAAGACATGCAAACATTATACAAAATTCTATAACTACACATATTAAAATGTATTTCTGTAAAAGATAGATATTGAAAGACACTGAACAGAGATTAAATGCAGGGCACAGCTTTCAAATTCATGCTTAAACCTGTCTGGATAGGCCTGCCAGAAGAGAAAGGTTTTTGGATGGTTTTTAAAGTATGACAGTTGATCTAAATTCCAACTCATGATGTTCCCAGTGTGGTTTAGAACAATTCCTGATCAATCGGGAGCCCTCCCCTGTCTCCAAACTTCTCTAGAAAGCCTTTTTGTTGGCATTGCCTTCAGTTTCATCATCTCCCTTGAATTGGCGCTTTGAATGCCAGGGCTTTGGGGCCGGTGGGTATTTGTCTCTGTCCACTGGGGCATTGTTTGCTTGCTCGGCTGTGCCCGTTCCTTAGCACCTCTTGTCTCCTGCTGCCCTTCGCCTTGTTTACCTGGGCCTGCCTGATTCCCCTCAGGTGCGCAAGTACAAGAGCATGATCCTGGAAGACCTGGAGTCGGCGCTGTTGGAACATGCCCCTGCGCCACAGGAGGTTAACTCGGAGCTGCCACCTTTAACCATCGATGGGATCCCGGTCTCGGTGGACAAGATGACCCAAGTAAGCCGCTGGAAATTGCAGAAGGCGGGTGTGTGTGTGTGTGTGTGTGTAAAAAGCAAAGAGGGGCCCTCAGAGTGTCTCTGATGCAGTCCTGGGTAAACTTGGCCCTTCCAGGTGTTTTGGACTTCAACTCCCTTCTTATTTACTAAGTTTTTTTAAAATACTGGTTGGACAACAACAATAAATGGGGCAAAGAGGACACAATAGTGGTGTAGCTGTGGCTGAGCACTTTTATATATAATGTATATAATATGTTTGAGAGAGGCTTGTTTAAGAGGTTTGACTTTTAAAATGTTGTTTGTATGTGACACTTTAAAAAAAATAAATTGTAGCAAATTCTTGGTGGTATGAGGATCCCAAGCCACCTTGTTTCTCTCCTGAGCAATCTGTATAATGACCAAATTACAACAGCAAGGACCATCCATGGAACAACAGACTGGTTCAAGATTGGGAAAGGCATAAAGCAGGGTTGTCTACTCTGACCCAACCTATTCAACTTGTATGCAGAACACATCATGTGATGTGTGGGGCTTGACATATCCAAGGCTGGGGTAAAAATTGCTGGAAGAAACATTAACAACCTCAGATATGCAGATGACTTCTTCACATTGCAATTAGTATCTAAACACCTTCGCAGAAGCATACACGAAGCTTGGCCTGTCACTGAACATCGAGAAAACCAAAGTGCTGTTCCAGCAGTCAACAGCCATCCCCTCCCCAATGCCAGAGATACAGCTTAATGGTGTAACATTAGAAAATGTTGACCATTTCCGCTACCTTGGCAGCCACCTCTCCACCAAAGTCAACATCGACACTGAAATACAACACCGCCTGAGCTCTGCGAGTGCAGCATTTTTCCGAATAAAGCAGAGAGTGTTTGAGGACCGGGACATCCATAGGGATGCCAAGGTGCTTGTTTATAAAGCTATTGTCCTCCTAACCCTGCTATACGCCTGCAAAACATGGACTGTCTATAGACATCAACATTGACACTGAAACTCAATACCGCCTGAGCTCCATGAGTGCAGCATTTTTCCAAATGAAGTAGAGAGTGTTTGAGGACCGGGACATCCGTAGGGATACCAAGGGGCTTGTTTATAAAGCTATTGTCCTCCCAACCCTGTTATATGCCTGTGAAGCATGGACTGTCTACAGACATCAACATTGACACTGAAACTCAACACCGCCTGAGCTCTGTGAGTGCAGCATTTTTCTGAATGAAGCAGAGAGTGTTTGAGGACCGGGACATCCGTAGCTATTGTCCTCCCAACCCTGCTCTATGCCTGTGAGACGTGGACTGTCTACAGACGTCACATGCAACTCCTGGAACGATTCCATCAGCGCTGCCTCCGGAAAATCCTGCAAATATCTTGGGAAGACAAGCGGACAAACGTCAGCGTGCTGGAAGAAGCAAAGACCACCAGCATTGAAGCGATGGTCTCTGCCATCAACTCCGCTGGGCTGGCCACGTTGTCCGGATGCCCAACCACTGTCTCCCAAAGCAGTTGCTCTACTCTGAACTTAAGAATGGAAAACGGAACGTTGGTGGGCAGGAAAAGAGATTTAAAGATGGCCTCAAAGCCAACCTTAAAATCTCTGGCATAGACACTGAGAACTGGGAAGGCCGGGCCCTTGAGCGCTCCAGCTGGAGGTCAGCTGTGACCAGCAGTGCTGCAGAATTCGAGGAGGCACGAGTGGGGGGTGAAAGAGAGAAACGTGCCAAGAGGAAGGCGCGTCAAGCCAACCCCGACCGGGACCGCCTTCCACCTGGAAACCAATGCCTTCACTGTGGGAGAAGATGCGGGTCAAGAATAGGGCTCCACAGTCACCTACAAATCCACAAGGAAACCCATCATGGAAGACCATCTTACTCGTCCAACGAGGGATCAAGTAAGTAAGTAAGTATTTGAAAGCATTGCACAGATTGTCGTAGATATCTTTGAAACAGGCAAGCAAGAGTCCCTTTGTCTCCTGAGCCATTGCCTCTTCTTTACGTGACACTTCCTTTATGTTCTGGCAAAAACATGAACCTTTTTCCAGGATAAAGCATGCAAATGAAATGCATTCATTGCAGAGAATCCTATTTGAATGTCTTTTTGTGAGCAGCGTGATTTGAATCTGCGCTTTCCCTCTGGCATGCTGTGTAAACAGATCTTTGCTTTTACATGTCCAGTGGATGTGGCGGTTTCTTGTGTTGAGGAAATGCGCCCCTCTCCACATGGAAATGCACCCTGGACGTTCCACAGATCTCTAAACCTCACTTGCCTAGTTTCTAACAGACCTCACAACTTCTGAGAATGCTTGCCATGGATGTGGGTGAAACATCAGGAGAGAATGCTTCTGGAAGATGACCAGACAGCCTGGAAAACTCACAGCAAGCCTGCAAGTGCCATTGCTCATCATGTTTTCCCCAATTACTTTTTTGAATGATGTGATTCTTCTGTCTGCCTTGTCACTAGGTGACACTAGAGTTCTCTTTGCTTTGCGGCTGCGTTTATTCCTGAGACAGACAGTGCAGTCTCCCTTGAGGAAACAGCCCATCCCTTCTCTGATATCCATTGTATAGATAGAGAGAGGGAGCCAGGAAAAGCCGGCCTCTTTATGGCGATGGGATTGTTCTGAAGCTCTGGACTGAGAAATACCACTCCAACTCCAAGACTGCGCATCTCAATAAATTTTAAATTAAAGCAAACTTTGTCAAACTACTGACTTTTCTTTTAAAAACAAAACTACAGTGTCTGTTTACATAAATAAATTCAGGTACAGTTTGGTTATGGATATGAGGTACTTAACAAAGTATCAATCAGTTTGAATGGCAAGAGAGCAGGGAATCTTGCAGGTGATTGGATCAAATGCTTGATGGAGTTTTTCAAAGGTTGTTGTTTAGGACAGGGATTGGTGGACTTATTTATTTATTTATTTATTTATTTATTTACAGTTCTTATATTCCGCCCTTCTCACCCCGCAGGGGACTCAGGGCGGATTACAGTAAACACATATATGGCAAACATTCAATGCCAGTTTGACAAACAACATTTAACAGACAAAGGCTATTTAACTTTTTTTCTGGCCGCTGGGGGAGCTGCTGCTTTTCATCGTCCATCAACGACACCGATGAAGTTCTTCCACATTCCCCGGAGTCTTCTTTCTTTATGGCCTCATAAATTAGTTAAATTTAGCCTCCCACACAAGGTGGTACCTTATTTTCCTACTTGACAGATGCAACTGTCTTTCGGGTTGCAAAGGTCGACAACGGGCTACACAATGGCTGGACACCCACTCCAGCCCGGGCTGGCTTCGAACTCATGACCTTTTGGTCAGAGTGATCTTAATGCAGCTGACACTCAGCCAGCTGCGCCACAATCCCGGTGCTTACAAAACAGGACACATTTTGGGATAAAATAATACAATCAGATAATAAGATGATAATAAAAATGTATAAGATTTTATTAGAATGGTCTATAGATAGGGGAAAGGAAAAGGAATGCATGAAAAGAAAATATAGGAAGAAATATAAGAAAAGAAGAATGGGAGGAAGTATGGAACAAAAAATTAAAATATACTGGTGCAATAGAAAAATGGCATATAGATGGCACTTAAGACCACAAAAAAATGGGAAGTATTACAAAAATACAAACACAAAATGCTGGAAATGTAGAGAAAAAGAAGGCTCATATTTCCACATGTGGTGGGCATGCAGCAAAATAAAAAGCTATTGGGGGAAAAATACAGAAAAGTATTTAAGAAATTTTAGAGATAAAATTACGACTAAAACCGGAAATCTTTTTACTGGGGATACATGAACAAAAAATAGACAAAAACAAAGATAAAAACTATTATTTCTACTAACTACCGCGGCAAGGCTGTACTATGCAAAATTATGGAAAAAGAAAGCGATACCAGAAGAAGTAGATTGGATGTTAAAAATTCAAGACATAAGAAACATGGGCAGACTTACATTCCTGATATCTAAAAACAAAGGAAGTGCAAGAAAAGAGACGAACTGGGATCCAGTTACAGAATACTTAAAAAGAAATAAGAAGGAAATATTGATATAAGAAGAGAGAAAGAGGAAAGGAAGGAAAAAGAAGAAAAGACGTGAGAAGCAAGAATAAAAATAGAAACCGAAGGAAAAGGAGAGAAGCTCGCAGAAGATACCTGGAAGTAAAAATACATACTTCTGTTTTTGTTTTGTTTTTTTTCTTTCTTTCTTCTTCTTTTCTTTCCCTCTTCCATATTGGTGTTTTAGGCTATCACCATTACACTCCTTCTCCCCCCTCTCTCTATATTTTTCTCTTTCCTTCTCTTCTTTCTCATTTATCTTTTAATTGTTTTATGGAAAATTTTTAATAAAGTTTATTATTTAAAAAGGACAGTGATTTTTGGGAGTTTCACAGTCAAGAATATCAGCCAGGGAAGTAGAGAGAGCATCAGTAATAGAAATTAGTTTGGATATATGAGAAAAAAGACGTGAGTTAGAGTTAGCATTGGGTTTTAGATGTTTTAAATAAGTAATTTTAACTATACAGTGAATTTCTGTTTAGTAGATTAATTTTTCTGTCATACTTGTTCCTCTGAAAACAGCACACAAGGGTTGTTATAATACATGAGTTCAGTCAATCAAGGCTGGTGTATCCATTAGACTACAGTAGACCATTTTCGGGGTCAGTTGGGGCACAGAACCACTGCAAAAGTGGAAAAACCACATACACACAAGGCGCTATTAATCTGAGGCCCCATCTACACTGCCATATAATGTAGTTTCAAAATGCAATTGAACTGGATTGCATGGCAGTGCAGACAGGGCTTAAAAGGAAGTCTCTCTAAGTCAGTGGCTCCCCAGATGTTTTGGCCTCCAACTCCCAGAAATTCTAACAGCTGGAAAACTGGCTGGGATGAATGAGTTCCTCTGCACACTGCACATATCTTATTTGTAGTGCAAAAAACACTTAAAAACAATACACAAATTAAAATGAAGAGCAATTTTAACAAATATAAACGTATTAGTATTTCAATGGGAAGTGTGGAGCTCTTTTCAGCAGATGAGATAGGATTGTTGTTGTTGTGTGCTTTCAAGTCATTTCAGACTTAGGTTGACCCTGAGCGAGGGCCGGGTAAATGACCTTGGAGGGCCGTATCCAGCCCTCGGGCCTTAGTTTGAGGACCCCTGGGCTAGAAGGTCATGGCAGTAGAACAGGAGGAAGTCTTCAGGTTTGGTGACAATGGTGGCATAAGCAGAAGTCCTCACAGATTTCTACCAATTTCTGATTGTGTTTGCTTCTTTGTCGTGTGTTTGTCTGTTTAGCTTCCAGACCTTGTGATGATGGCCTTCTGCTGCTCAGGGCCCTATATTGAACCATTTTCTGCTCTTATGGGTCTTGTGTCTCCAAGTGTTGCATTCCTTTTTTGTAGGCGCAGCTGCGGGCCTTTATCCCCGAGATGCTGAAGTACTCCACGGGCCGCGGGAAGCCTGGCTGGGGCAAGGAGAGCTGCAAGCCCGTCTGGTGGCCGGAAGACATCCCCTGGGCCAACGTCCGCAGCGACGTCCGGACCGAGGAGCAGAAGCAGAGGGTGTGTGTTGAGTGCCCTCTTGCGCCTGCAAAGGGCTCCTCCTTGGTATGGCAATGGCAGGGGCTGGGCTTATAGACCTCTCGCAATGGGACAGGGTGGGTGACGTGGTTAAATGGGTGGCACAAATGGCAAGGAACAGGTAAGAGCACCGGGCCTGGTCATCCTGCTTTTGCAGCCATTAACAACCTGCCCTTTGCGGATTTTGGTACTTTTTAATCAGCTGCTGTGTTCACAACCTTCCAAAGAACCATTAAGTGTCTCCTTCAGCCATTTTGTGATTTTAACTGATGTTTTAATGTTTATGTTTTTAATTGGGTTGATTTTAATGCAGTCGTTTATTTACCAATATGTGTATGTATATACGGTATTGAATTTTGCCTTTGTGAGGCTGCCCTGTGTCCCATTTAGGGTGAGAAGGGTGGGATACAAGTGTGATAAATAAATAATAGAATCCTAGAGTTGGAAGAGACCTCATGGGCCATCCAGTCCAACCCCATTCTGCCAAAAAGCAGGAAAATCGCATTCAAAGCACCCCTAACAGATGGCCAACCAGCTTCTGCTCAAAAACCTCTAAAGAAGAAGCCTCCACCGTACTCCTGGGCAGAGAGTCCCACCTTAGAACAGCTCTCACAGTTAGGAAGTTCTTCCTCATGTTCAGGAAGTGTCCTTTTCTGTAGTTTGAAGACATTGCTCATTGCTTCCTAGTATCCAGGGCAGTAGAAAACAAGTTTGCTCCCTCCTCCCAATAATAATAATAATAATAATAATAATAATAATAATAATCTTTATTTATACCCCGCCACCACCTTCTCGATGGGGACTCGGGGCAGCTTACATGAGGCCAAGCACAAACAACAAATTAGAGCAAAATAAAACCGAAAACGGAAACAATAAATAACATCATAATTACATAAAACATATGAATGCATAACGATATAAAATTACAGTAAACGTAATCACAGTGACAATGGGCAGGCTGCATGTAATGATTAAAGGAAAAACTAATTAAAAACTGATTAAAAACCCGGGTCAGTTAAAGGAGAAGCAGGTTATTTGCAAAGGGGGGGGGGTCATTAAAATGGGGGTTGTGGAATCAAACTTTCCCATCACTCCCCCTCAAATATGTCTCTTCTCATCATGTCTCTTCCCAGCCTTCTCTTTTTCAGGCTAGACATGCCCAGTTCTTTAAGCCGCTCCTCATAGGGCTTGTTCTCCAGACCCTTGATCATTTGAGTCGCCCTCTTTCTCTGAACACATTCCAGCTTAGATTCAACATCTCCCTTCAATTGTGATGCCCAGAACTGGACACAGTGTGATTCCAGGTGTGGTCTGACCAAGGCAGAATGGAGCAAGGATAGCATCACTTCCCTGGATCTGGATTCTATATTCCTCTTGATGCAGGCCAAAATCCCATTTGGCTTTTTTAGCTGCTGCATCGCATTGTTGGCTCATGTTTACCTTCCTCTCCACGAGGATGCCAAGATCTTTTTCACACGTACTATTGTCGAGCCAGGCATCGTGCCCCATTCTGTCTCTTTTGCAAATAAACAAACAAATAAACAATGATAACCCATAAGACTAGACCCTGCATAGTGAAGCATAATGTAAATTTATCCATACAGAATAGCTGTGCATAACTGCTGTTTCAGATCCCAGAAAACTTAAGGTTACTTCTGAGGCTGTAAGGTTAAATAAATAGTAAAATAGAAAATAAAACCTGGCTCCACTTTGCTCCCTTTCTGTAAAATGTGTTAAGATACTGCTTACAGGCTTCCAAATCCTCTAGGTCGCAGGAAGAAGCAGGTGATAACATTTCTTCTTGTTGTTGTTATGACAAACCGATGGTCCAGATCTGTCCATTGGTCTCAAATAATCTGTTTTTGAAGCAGTGGAAAATAAAATCTGTAGGAAGTATGTCTCCAAACAGAACATCCTTTTATCTCTCAAAATTCTACAATGCTTTATATTTCAATGTAATTGTAAGGTAGCTCATCGTCCAATGACCTATAAAGGCAATGCTAAATAGAAAGGCAACAGATGAAATTTGCATGGCTTTTTGAGGGGTCATCACTCAAACCATGTGCTTTGATAAATGCATTTGGAAGCTTTTCTGTGCGTTGCTGGTTGTCCTTTAAATGCACTTGTTCCTAGGACTTTTTTGTACAAGAAATTTTCTAAAAAATAGATTTGAATCTTGGTCTGACAGCCTTTTTCTCAAAATTTATTTATTTATTTATTTATTTGAAACTTTCGTATCCCAATCTTCTCTACCTCCGTGGAGGGACTCAGACCAGCTAACTGCAAGGATTTAACGCTAACAATACAGTTTAAAACATCATACAACAACAATAGATTAATACATATAGAATAAAATACATATAAGCCAGTTCACCAAGATAAAATCATGTCGAACTCAGTCCACAATTATATCACTATTGTTCTCAGTTGTTGTTGTCATTATGTACATTTAAGTTGCCTCTGGCCCATGGCAACTCTATCCTAGTTTCCAGCAACAACAACAATATAGTGTATTCATGTTGCCTCTAACTCATGGCAACTGTATCCTAGGTTCCAATAACAACAACAACAATCATATTGTGCATTCAAGTAGCCTCTGACTCATGGCAACTCTATCCTAGGTTCTAATGATAACAACATCAACAATAATAATATAGTTCATTCAGGTTGCCCCTGACTCATAGCAACTCTATTCTAGGTTCCAGTAACAACAACATCACAACAACAACAGTAATAATAATGTTGTTCATTCAAGTTGCCTCTGACTCATTGCAACTCTATCCTAGGTTCCAACAACAACATGTATTCAAGTTGCTTCTGACTGATGGCAACTGTATTCTAGGTTCCAATAACAACAACAACAATAATATAGTTCATTCAAGTTGCCCCTGACTCATAGAAACTCTGTCCTAGGTTCTAGTAATAACAACAACAACAATATTGTTCATTCAAGTTGCCTCTGACTCATGGCAACTCTTTCCTAGGTTCCAATAACAACAACAACAAAAATATTCAAGTTGCCTTTGACTGACGGCAACTTTATCCTAGGTTCCAATAATAATAATAACAACAATGTATATTTGAAATGACTTTTTCACTAACCTTGATGAAGTTTGAATATTTTTGCCTTGCTGTTGCTTTTTGCTGCTGCTTCTCTTGTCAGTTTTGACACGATTGAGCTCCCTACATCTATCCTAACCCCCCTTTCTCCCCTTTCTCCTCTCCCCTCTGTCCTTCCAACAGGTCTCTTGGACTCAGGCCTTGCGGACGATCGTGAAGAACTGCTATAAGCAGCATGGCCGCGAGGACCTGCTCTATGCTTTTGAGGACCAGCAGACCCAGCCCACGGCAGCAACCCACAGCATCGCGCATCTGGTGCCTTCGCAGACCGTGGTCCAGACCTTCAGCAACCCAGACGGCACCGTCTCTCTCATCCAGGTGAGGGAGCCAGGCATGGGCAAACTTTGGCCCTCCCTCCAGTGTTTTGGACTTCAACTCCCACAATTCCTAACAGCCTACTAGCTGTTCTTTCCCAGAGCCACTTCACCTAGCAACAGCAAATCCAGGGATTTCAAAAATGGCCACTTCACTTTACAACAGCCTTTGTGATACAATCAGACAGGTGGACAGGCATACTTTGACTTTTATTTACATAGATTTGTTTCATTTGTATGCCAGCTTTCTCTGAAAGCAGGACTTAAGGTGCAGACCCCTCCTAGACTAGTGGTTCTCAGCCTGTGAGTCCCCAGATGTTTTGGCCTTCTGTAATGAATCCCTTACCTTAGTTGGCTGCCTGAAGCCTAAGGAAGGGGGCCTGGCGAAGCCACAGCATCCATTTTAGAGAAGGGAGACAGGGAGAAGCCATCTTAGTTTAGGTTATCCTTGAGGGAGCGTGTTGGAGGAAAAGTTAGAAGGCTAAGATTGGCTAGAAAGATGGGGGCGGAGCCTAAGTGATCTAAAGGAAAAAATGTCTTTTAAACTGAGGGTTGAAGTCCCTTTTTAGTGAGTTGGAGTTTAGAACTGTTAGCGAGAAGAAGTGTGGGTGTTAGTGAGGAGTGAGTTTGGGTTTGAAGAAGAAGTTTGGGTCAGTCTTTTGTATAGTATTCAGAATAGCTATTGAGTAGATAGCTAGGATACTGTTTTGTGGAGCAGTACCCCGTTAGTGATCTGTTCAATTCCTAAGGAAATCTAGTTCAAGGTTTTTGGCTAGATTCCTAAGGGGCTTTTTTGGGAGTTACTTTCAAAGATTCATTTCCTGAAGTAATTTTCTGTGGTGGAACTTTAAAGACTTGTAACCCAGAAGTTTTGAGATCTTTAACTCAACCACAAGCTTTTTATGCCAGTATTTTACCGAAACCGTTAAGAATTTGTACCTGAATTATCCAAGCCTGTTCAATAAACGTTCTTGTTATTTTTATCAACTTATACCAGCCTCAGTGTGAATACCTTTGTGGTCAAAATACTACTAAAGTAAGCTTCACAACAGCCTTTAAGAAACTATAGTGACATAGGGTATGTTACTGAACAAACCCTCAATATTACCTCAGCCTGATTATTAGTGAAATGGTGGCAGCGAAAATCTTTTGAAGAATCATTTTAAGACTCTTGTTTTCAGTGGTTCCCAGTTCCTAACTTTTAAATATACAGTTGGTTCAGCAACCATACTCCCTCTACCTTTTTGTGTGCTTCATAATTTTGGCTGAGCAGAGTTGGGATGTATTATATAAATATTTCCCCGTCTCTCATACATTTAATTAAAATCTTACTCTTCTCCCTTCTACTCCTCACTGCGTGTGCATCATTATATTTTTGATGAGCCTCACAGCGTGGTGTTCGCTATACCTTCCAACTCCCAGAATCCTAACAGCATTTCTGCATGTTGTTGTTTTGCATCCTGGAATTGAAATGCACTTAAACTGCATTGTTGCCACTTGCTATATGCACAACACTGCCAAACTGCAAAATATATTTAGTTTAACAAAAATGGGCACTGTCATTTGCATGCTGTGCCACAATAAACTTAAATGGCACCTCTGCAGTGTTGAGTATCTTATGTACATCAAGTGGGAATGATACCAATTCAGTCCATTTCACTTCCAGGCTGTAAACATGGAAAAATGTGAAAGAGCCAGAGAAGGTGGAATACTTCTGAACAGCGTTGTAAATGCAGTACATATATTATGTACACATTTATCTTCTTGTCAGTGGGATTTTGGCCAGCATCAATAGGAGTCTAGTGTCTAGATTAGTGGTTCTCAACCTGGAGTCCCCAGATGTTTTTGGCCTTCAACTCCCAGAAATCCTAACAGCTGGTAAACTGGCTGGGATTTCTGGGAATTGTAGGCCAAAAACATCTGGGGACCCCAGGTTGAGAACCACTGGTCTAGATCCAGGGAAGTCATGCTCCCCATGCTCTATTCTGCCTTGGTTAGACCACACCTGAAATACTGTGTCCAATTCTGGGCACCACAATTGAAGGGAGATGTTGACAAGCTGGAAAGTGTCCAGGGGAGGTCAACTAAAATGATCAAGGGTCTGGAGAACAAGACCTATGAGGAGTGGCTTAAAGAGCTGGATATGTTTAGCCTGAAGAAGAGAAGGCTGAGGGGAGACATGATAGCCGTGTATAAATATGTGAGAGGAAGTCACAGGGAGGAGGGAGCAAGCTTGTTTTCTGCTGCCCTGGAGACTAGGACGCGGAACAATGGCTTCAAACTACAAGAAAGGAACATGAGGAAGAACTTCCTGACTGTGAGAGCCATTCAGCAGTGGAACTCTCTGCCTCGGAGTGTGGTGAAGGCTCCTTCTTTGGAGGCTTTTAAACAGAAGCTGGATGGCCATCTGTTGGGGGTGCTTTGAATGCAATTTTCCTGCTTCTTGGCAGAATAGGGTTGGACTAGATGGCCCATGAGGTCTCTTCCAACTCTAGGATTCTATAATTCTCTATTTTGTTTGTTCTTTTAAAAATGATTGTGGGACTTCACGAAAGAAAGGAATGGCTAGTTTGTCGTTGTGTCTTTAATCCCAGGATGCACACCATTTGCGCTCCCAGGTTAAGGAACAGGGGGTCAATGGAGATTAAGGGGTTTTGGAGGTTGTGATTATCAGCGTTACACTGAATCCTGTTTTTGGTGATACATTGCAGGTTGGCACAGGAGCAACGGTGGCCACTTTGGCCGACGCTTCGGAATTGCCCACGACAGTCACAGTCGCACAGGTCAACTACTCTGCTGTCACTGACGGAGAGGTAAGGGATGCCGTCGCTTGGCAACAGTCAGCTGGCGCTTTTTGCTCCTTCCCTAGGGTTAGAGATGGGAGGAGGCCCAGCACCAAAAACATTCTGGGGAGATTCATCCTTTTGAAAACAATCAAGAAGTTCTCATAACCTTCTGGGGAGGATTACAAATTATGGAATCATTCTGTATCTGAGAATTTTCAACAAACACAAAAACATTTTTCATAGCCCAGCTTACATATGCAGCATTGATATACACAGAAGACTAAATCTCTTTCAACCTTCTAATAATAATAATAATGCTAATGATAATAATACTTTTATTTCCTCTTCGTGGAATCTGTGAAAGGCACACATAATGGGTTTCAGTTCTGCGCATGCGCAGCTGTTCGGAACCTTCTAGAATCTTGTAATAGAAACATTTTGGCGGAGGCCCCGCCCACTCTCCCCAATACTATAAATGCCTGAGCGGGGGCTGCACCTTAGTTCCTTTTTCCGCTGCAATCAGCAGCCTTTGGAACCTCTCTAGTCTCTTTGACATACTCACTTATTGGACTGACTCGTTTGACCTACCGACCAGATTGTGACCTTCAACTACCCTCAGGCCAGTTTCCCTCCATTATTAGTATCACGTCCTTTTTTAAGACATGTGGATCTTGTGGCGGCAATGTGCCTGATACAGACGGGCACTCTATGTGCTTGTTCTGTTTGGGGGAATCCCATTGCCCCCAATCTTGCCAAGTCTGTGTGGCATTCATGTGCCTATTTCACAGACTACCACTCGAGGAAACACAGTTACAGGTAAGCAACTTGTCTTTCTTACCCACCTCCTTGTAGCTCAAGGCAGGTAGCAGCGCAGTCAAAGCAGACAAACATTGCAAAAATTTTATAAGCACACATATTAAAAGATACATATTAAAACACATATCTACAAAATGCATATTAAATATGTCAGGCAAAGATTAAAAGACGGACACAAGTTTAAAATAAAGGCTTAAAACTAATGCACTTACGCTCTGGACAAAAGCATTTTTATAGGACTGCTGTACCATGCAGTTTGGAACTGCATTATATGGTCAGTGTAGACTCATATAATGCAGTTCACTTCAATTCAAACTGCATTATATGAGTCTTCAGTGAAACTCTCTCTCTCTCTCTCTCTCTCTCTCTCTCTCTCTCTCTCTCTATATATATATATATATATATATATATATATTGCAGTTTACAGACATAAATTTGAAATGTTCATTTATTTTGGTCACTGGAAAGATTCATCCATCTAGTTCACACATGTTCTTTCTAAGAGCTTTGCCCAGTAACAGAAGTGATTAACAAATTGACCGATATACATATACAGCACGTACACACACACACACACACATATATACTAGCCGTACCCTGCCACGCATTGCTGTGGCCCAGTCTGTGTATATGTGCTTTGTGTGTATAAGTGTGTATATATGTTTGCGTATATGTGTGTTGGCATATATATATATATATGTGGTTTTGCACATGTGTTGTAGTGTCTTTTTGCTTTTTTGGCTTTTAAAGTCTCTTCTACTTTGTTTTTCATTGTTTTATGAGTGATGGTCACTTGTTAGCCCGATAGGGTGTGTCCAAATTTGGTGTCTATTCGTCCAGTGGTTTTTGAGTTATGTTAATCCCACAAACAAACATTACATTTTTATTTATATAGATTACTAGCTGTCCCCTGCCATGTTTTGCTGTGGCCCAGTCTGTGTCTATGTGTTTTGTGTGTGTATATATGTGTGTATATATTTGTGTATATGTATATATATGCATGTTTGTGTATATATGTGGTTTTTGCATTGGTTGTAATGTATTTTTTTGGGTTTGGTTTTTCTTTCTTTTTTTGGGGGGGGGGGTTTAAAGTCCTTTCTGCTGTGTTTTTCAGTATGTTTATGAGTGATGGTCACTTGTTGGCCGGATAGGTGTCTTGTGTCCAAATTTGGTATCAGTTTGTCTAGTGGTTTTTAAGTTATACTAATCCCACAAACGAACATTACATTTTTATTTATATAGATAGGCAGTCCACAAGTTACAAACAAGGTGGATTCTGTAGTTTTTTCCCCCAATAATAATAATAATAATAATAATAATAATAATAATAATAATAAGTTGAATTTGTATGTAAATTGGAACAGGTACCTTTTTTTATGTGTAACTCCATCCAAATATATGTATATGTTAGTTTTGGATATCATAGGGAAGGGTTAACACCCCTGTGGGTTTGTTTTGCTATATGTGCCCTTCTTCCAAAGGTTTCACCTCACTTCCTGTCCCTGTGAGAATGGGATTTTGCAAAATGTGGCTTGTTGTGGAAAAAAGGATTGGTGTTAAAGCAGGATAATAACTCTTTCAGGAGTGAATTTCCCTTCTTAGGGGAAGATTTGTCTTACTTCTTGTTGTCTCAGCCCCATTCTTCACTGGGAGTCGTTTGTAAGTCAGGGAATGCCTCTGTGTGTATGTGAATGTGTGTGTGTGATATCTGTCAGGGTGCAAAGCCGCACTTGGGGAGAGAAGCGTGTATTTTGCCAGCAAGTCAGTAGATCGAAGAGGACGCTTTACTGGCCAAAGCATGAAGTCACGGGCTCCTCCGAAGCCTCACCCCATTAATGTTTCTTCCAAGAGGCGAAATGACAAGTCAGGGAGCCGAGAAACTCAAGCTGGGGAAGCAGATAACATTCCTCAAAGCTAAGTGCTTTGGGGTGTGTGTGTGTTGAAGACTTTGGGCATTCCTCAGACTCGGTTGCCAGCTCTGCCGTAGAGAGTTCTTTCCCTTGACCTCCCTTTGGAGCCGTGCCCACCCTCTCTGAGCCTCTGCGACAGAATAAAGCGCCCAGCCCCGCTCTGCTTCCTCCAGAAAGGGATAGGATTCTGGGGCAATAGGTGGCAGCACAAAACAGCCTTGTTCTCACCGGAGCCGGCATTTCCATCTGAAAAAACCAGCCCCAAACAGGTTGTTTTGTTTGAGTTTCTGGCCTTGCAAAAAAAAAAAAAAATCTGTGAGCCCTGGAAGACAAGCCTTCATTGTCTGAGCAGAAACAGGTGCCCTTCCCCCTGGCCTGGCTTCCCTATTTATGTCTGAGCATTGGACACACGAAGCGGTTGCCTCGTCAGGCTCCCACCCCTTTTGCAAAGGACCCGTCGCTCTTTTCCCAGCAGCACTTCTTCAGGATGCTTATCTATCTGTGTCACTAATGCACAGAGCCATTTTGAGTCTCTTTCGGAAGAGAGAAGGCGGGGTATAAAGAAATATAATAATAATAGTAATGCAAAGGTTGTTGCCACGACAGTTATGCTTTTTCAGAGATACTGCAAGCCTTGGCAGACCGTGCAAAAAGAATCTGCAAACCCCACCTCCTCCAAGAGGAACTGAACCACCTAAACTGGGTTCTCCAGCCAGTGGAGACTCCATCTCAGACATCGGAAGAACTGCAAGACAACCAAGAAGAAGCCACGAGAGTCAAGACAAAGATCCAGCCAGAGGAAAAGTGTTCTTGCCAGACATCAAGGGAACCACTGACCGCAGAGGGAAGCTGATGAGGAAACACAACATACAAACTATCTACAGACCTACCAAGAAAATCCAACAAATGCTACGTTCAGCAAAGGACAAGAGGAATCATCTCACTTCTGCAGGAGTCTACCGTGTACCGTGCAGCTGTGGACAAGTCTACAGAGGGACCACCAAACGCAGCAGCATTGCCCAGACACGAATCAAGGAACAGGAAAGGCACTGCAGACTACTCCAGCCAGAGACGTCAGCCATAGCGGAGCACCTGAGGAACCAACCTGGACACAGAATACTATCTGAGAACACAGAAATGCTGGACCACTCTCACAACCAACATGTCGGACTACACAGAGAAGCCATTGAAATCACACAAGCATGTGGACAATTTCAACAGAAAGGAGGAAACCATGAAAATGAACAAAATCTGGCTACCAGTATTAAAAAACTCTAAAATTACAACAGCAAAAAAACAGAGAGGAAACAATCAGGGACATCTAATCACCTCTCAACAAAAGATTGCCCCAGGCACTGCCAGGCCATCAAATGCTAATCAAGGTGGTCAGTTGAAACATTCACACCTAGCTCCAACAGACAAGAGTTCTTTGTCCCACCCTGGTCATTCCACAGATATAAACCCAATTTTCCTAGCTCCAACAGACCTCACAACCTCTGAGGATGCTTGCCATAGATGCAGGCGAAATGTCAGGAGAGAATGCCTCTAGAACATGGCCATATAGCCCGAAAAAAAAAACCTACAACAACCCAGTGATTCCGGCCATGAAAGCCTTTGCTAGGCCTGTAGCCAGGATTTCGTTTGGGGGGGGGGCTGAGTCTGAGAGAAAGAGGGTCTACCCTAGCAAAACTTTTGTATCGTTACCCCAATACCCCCATGCATATGGGATATATTGAACATGGTGATCAGATCATGATATGAATAAACATAACAGTTTAAATAATGCACCAGTAAGGCCTTTTCGCGAACCACCATGAGAATTTCGGGGGGGGGGGGGGGGTGCGGGCTACTGTCCTATCTTTGGGGCTACATTTTGACAGACTGGCACAGCAACCCCCCCCCCCCCCCGGCTACATGCCTGGCAGTTGCACATCTGCTCTGAAAAGCATTACTTGGAACGATTGAGTTGGAAGGGGTACCCAAAGGGCATCCAGCCCAGCCCTCTTCTGCCATGCAATAACACAGTCCAATCCTTCCTGACAGATGGCCATCCAGTCTCTGCTGGAGACTCTCTTAGACTCGGAGGCATTACTTGGAATTATAGAGTTGGAAAGGGTACTCAAAGGGCATCCAGTCCAGCTGTCTTCTGCCATGCAGTAACACACAGTCCAATCCCTCCTGACAGATGGCCATCCAGCCTCTGCTGGGGACTCCCTTGGCAGCAAAACATCTCTTAACCTCAGGACATTCTTTCCAATATTGAGATGGAGCCTCTTTTCCTGCCATTTGAATCCATGGCTC